CGGGACTCGAACCTGCGCTACTGGGACGCTTTGGTTTATAGGGCCAGCAAGCTGACGATGAGCCCAAAGACGTCCTCTATATTTTCATTAGTATTATTATTCTTAATAATTTGCTTGTGAATATTAGTGGTAAATAATCCGTATAAGTGATAAACTTATCCGGAATGATTTCAGTCCNTGACGATGAGCCCAAAGACGTCCTCTATATTTTCATTAGTATTATTATTCTTAATAATTTGCTTGTGAATATTAGTGGTAAATAATCCGTATAAGTGATAAACTTATCCGGAATGATTTCAGTCCGGCAGGTCACGAGGAACTTTTCAGCCAAAGGAGAAGAATTATCATCGGGTCTTTCAGCAATGAAAACGATCTTTGGACCGTTTATGGGAGTTTCGTGTATGGACATCGAGGATGAGGAGTGAAGTTTTACTGTTTTGGTAATTATCAGAGGCTTTTTTGGAGAGATTAAACAATTTTCTGTTGGGAATTTCTGATATTTCCATGTTAATCAACTGATCATTTGATATAATTCCAGTTGATGGGTTAATTAACATGAAAACTGCAATTTAATTTTCTTGAAATAGTTTTTTAAATTCGAAATATGGGTCAGGGTTGGGTTAGGGTTGAGTCAAGGTTGAGTCAGGGTTGGATCAAGATTGAGTCGGGTGGACACCATACACCTTTTACCGGCCCAAGTTTAGATCTAATCTGGGATCACCCTGTTGAGTCAGGGTTGGGTCAAGATTGAGTCAGGGTCGGATCAACTTTGGGTCAAGTGGACACCAAACACCTTTCACCGGCCCAAGTTTAGATTAATTAACGTTGATCCAACTCTAACCCAACCCTGACCCAACCCTAACCCATATTTCGAATTGAAAAAACTATTTCAAGAAAATTAAATTTCAGTTTTCATGTTAATTAACCCATCAACTGTGGAATTATATCAAATAATCAGTTGATTACCATGGAAATATCAGAAATTCCCAAAATTGTTTAATCTCTCCAAAAAACCTCTGATAATTATACCAAAACAATAAAACTTCCATAAACGGACCAAAGATCGTTTTCATTGCTGAAAGACCCGATGATAATTCTACATTGGCTGAAAGGTTCCTCGTGACCTGCCGGACTGAAATCATTCCGGATAAGTCTACCACTTATCCGGATTATTTATCACTAATATCCACAAGCAGGTTATTAAGAATAATAATACTAATAAAAATAATAATTGAGTTAAGAATAATAATTTTAGTTTCTAGTTATAACTTACCTCTTGTACCCCTTATACAATATCCCCACATCAACTCCACGTGGTAAACCCCCAACCTCAATTTTCCAAATTCACACCATTCAAAATCTGACAGTTTGGTTCAGATTCCACAATATTCCGCTACGGTTCCGCGGACAATTTTAGTTGAATCGAAATCCGAGGCCTGCCCATGACTTTGAAAACTCATAGTAGTCACCCCTTAAGGGATCTCCTCAGTAATTTTGGCCGCAAAACGACAATGTGCTAGTGATCTGAATATGTCATATAATAATTAAGAGCAAATAAAAATAAATAATAAAATAATAATTTCTTTAGATCAGCTAGAAAAAGTCGGAGTAATTTCAAAACTTTTCAAACATTGCAACCCAACTAGGGAGAGAGTGAGGTAAAATGTACACTTTTGATTTTTTTAAATGTTGATGACAGATTGAATTGTTAAGGAAATGGAATATTTTTTTTAAGGAAAAGAACAATTCTTTCCCTTTGTGGTGGGCCTGAACTGATCTCAATTGATAAATCTGGTTCTGAGTTATAAATATTCCTATTTACTAAAGATGAAAGAAACGTGGAGTTGTTTTATATCGACGTTTGTTTTTAATGTGTCAAAAATACATTATCAAATGCTCATAACTTCTATGCCACCTGGGCCCTCAAAGTTTACATAACAAAGACACAATGCCATATTAAGCACACATTAAAGTCACAATCACAATTTTTGTCAGCCAGTACACTGTTAGAAATTTCTTGAATTTTCAGCCACAATGTCATCTGAATTTTCAATGTTGTGAGTTTGAATTAAATTTCAATTAAAAACGTTCACTAAATTTCTCATTCATCTTGAAAATTCAAGAAAATTGGGTTTGTCATTTTAAACAATCATTGATTTTTCAATGAAACCTTAAATTTTTAAACTCATCGTGAAAATTGAACATCACATACAATTCCATTTTCAATAGATTTAAAATTCAGAGTTGTTGCCTGAGTTTTCAACATTTTCAAGGTTTTTCGGTGCCGTAGAGACTTGAACATCGAGAATTACTTGAACATTCAAGAAATTAACTGATTCCTCAATGAAGAATTCTACAGAAATTTCCTGTAACTTTGTCGTTGTTAAAAATTTCAAGCTTTTTCACTTAAAATTTCAAGTGTAATTTTCTAACAGTGTAGATTATTCGCCCATTGTCGTTCCCACGATCTCTACAGCAAAAAGCAGAAATTTTTAACACAACTGCGAAAAGAAAAAACTCATTGTCGCCTCCTCTTCTCTCACACCCCCCTGGCTGCCTCAGCTCTCCTCACCGGCAACTTGCCGGTCCCTATAGCGACGCTGTACACGGAGAGAAATTTTCGATAAAAATTATCCTACCGTTCTTTAAAAGTGTATCATGAGTCATCGTTTCCTCATTTCTATCCCGAAATTTATTAAAAATTAATATGTGATGATCAAATTTTATTCTACGTTAGAGAAATTTTATCCTGATAAAAATAAAGATTACAGTGCCGGTAGAATAAAAATTACTGTACCGGTAGGGTAAAATTTACCAACCGTTCTAGAATTTTCGTTGTTATCTATATAAAAATTATTGGACTGGAAGGGTAAAATTTATTATGCGTCAGGATAAAATTTCTCTAACGTAGAATAAAATTTGATCATCATATATTAATTTTTACTAAATTTCGGGATAGAAATGAGGAAACGATGACTCATGATACACTTTTATAGAACGGTAGGGGAATTTTTACCAAAAATTTCTCTCCGTGTAGGAGCACTTGCTCAAACAGCGCTCCACTGCTCTCTCATCCATCCCAATTCCCTTCAACAGCTGAATGGCATTGAGGAGCTCTGGCGTCCTCATGAAATGTCTCGAAATATCTCGAAACTGCCTGACCGCTAATCCTCGATTCTGATTGGTCAATGAGTTACGTGAAGTAGTCGCTGAAAAAAATTCCTGGCATTTTCAAATTCTTCAAATGCCAAAAATTTTTTCTGCGTCATATTCATTTTTTCATTTGTGCAGTTTCTTTATATCAAAACATATCTAAATTGCCTAATTGTTGATCATCAGAAAAAAAAAATGGTGTTTCTAAATTTTTTCAACTCACAAATTATTCTACACATCCCAAATTTTAATTTTATCATATTTATCATATGCAAAAATGATCAATTCTTGCTTCTCAGATTTTCATACATAAATTCTAAACTCTACAAAATTCATGAAAATTCTTCGATTCCCCAAATAATTCGAGAAAAATCTTTGAAGATCTAGAGTTATTTGGAAAACTGTGGAATTTTCCGAAGAATTCAAGAAATTTCTTTAGTTTTCTAGGAAATCAATTCATAACCCTTCCCTCATTTTTCAACAATTACAGAGTTTAATCAGATTATTTTAAAAAGTAAAAAAAAAGAATTAATCGAAAATAAAAAATTTTTCATTGATGTTTCCCTTATCATTGTCTTAATTCTCTTTAAGTCATTATCAATATTTATAAAACATCTATGAGTATATGACGTTTAATAAATTGTATTTCTCCATTTTCCCAACGAACAGATGAGCGCGCGCGAAAGTGCACGCACAGGTCAAGTTTTTAAGACGTCAAAAGTGTCCATTTTACCCCACCCTCCCCTATTTCTCTTCAAATCTTGTTCATTCATCTTCTTGCAGATATGGGATACAAGAATTGGTACAGGGTCGATACGCTCAATAAAAGGTCCCCACATATGCGGTGATGCCCTAGACGTTCACGTAAGTGTTCTATAAATTCCAACCATTGATTCATTCACCGATTTGCCGCACAACTAATTGCTCATCGCATTTCTTGGCCCGACTGTTCGACTCGCCGCATGCATCGATGTTTAAAATTAAATAGTGAACTCAGCCCAATGGTTTATTAATAAATAACCAGAGTTGATCATTATTATTACCGTCAACAAATAACATCATTTGTACTTCGAACTTTCGGTGCTATGTTATTGCAGTGCTTTTAGGAAACCAAAATTATAACTGGGTCATGGACGGTTGAGGGAAGTCTCCAGCTGTGGGACTTGACCAGCGGACGATTGATAGAGACAATAAATCCGCAGAATCGGCCAACAACTCTTGATGGTGAATTTTTATATGTGGTTCAGTATTTCGGTGAAGATTCGAGAGGTGATCTTGTTGTGGCGGGGGGTGCTGGCACTGGAGCTGTTGAAGTCATTGATTTGAATGAGAAAAGGGTAAAAATAAAGAGGGATGGGGTAAAATGGACATCCGTTGTAATGCACCCAAAAAACAAAATAAGCTTCATTTAACAGTTAGATCGAAAATAAAAACTTTCGAAAATCTCAAATTTGGATTTTCACATGTTTTAAATTGAAACTTTTTAAAGTCCCAACTTAAGGCCGGGTGAATTTTTTTTTGAACGCGATCTTGGTTGTTTTTTTCAATTTGATAATCTGAAATGATCTCCAATTGCGATTCAGTTTTACATAGCCCTAGAGTCTCCAAAAATTATGATTCTACAATCAAAAAAACGTTCAAAGAAAGCTTAACATTTTCAAAGCACGTTTTTGAATAATATTGGGAAATAAACCCAATAGGGAGGAAATTGCAAATTAATAATTTGATGTATCTAATGGCTGTCAGGTCGTCATTTGTCCCAGTAGTCAGTGGCTGGCAGATCGTTAGTTACCATGATAAATTATCCACTCACTATTTCCTCTCTATCGGACTTATTTTTCAATCTTTATTCAAAATACTCTTTGAAAATGTTCATTTGTTTTCTTCTTTTTTTGATTGTACAATCACAATTGTCAGGGACTCTTGCGTAATCTAAAATCCAATGGAAATTGTGATATATTTTACATTATGAAGATGGAAAAACAATCGAGATAGCGTTCGAAAGATAATCCACCCGGGCCTTAATATAAAAATTTGCGCCATTCATGTAGAATAGGATGAACAATTATTCTTAAAATATTAAAAATATATTCTCGATTCTCTCAGAAATATTTTTCCGGCTATCTTACATGAATGGTACAATTTTTTATAAAAATAATATTGAAATTAACTGACTGCGGTGGCTGTGTGGTTAGAGTGTGGGATTGGCATGCGGGAGACCCGGGTTCGATTCCCGGCTGGGGGGGGCCAAAATTTGTGACACACCAAGTCTCACGGTTTCATTGTCGAGCGGGAGTCTCGCAAAAGACGACTGTACCTGGGCAGGTTTTTCCCTCAAATGAGGTTTCCTCTTGTCCTTCGGCGAATGCGGTACAGGGGGTTGGGGCGTGGGAAGGGAACAAATCGCAAAACCCGAAAGGGTATACGAGAGAAAAAAATTTAATAACGAAATTCGCTGTGTAGGAGTGAATTAAAACAAGCAGGGTTGTAAGCCTTTTTGGCAGAAGCCATGTAACATTTACTTTTTTTTCTGCCAATTCCATTGGTAATAAGCTTCCGAATGGATCCGTACAATTTCGCAGATGAAAACTACTCAAAAAGCTATTCCTATTGATAAGGGGAATAAACCACACCGACCTCTGATTCTGTCAGAGCTATACAATTTATTTGAATTGAAGAAAACTAATTCGTAATTGTGATTGCGCAATAACAATTACGATCCCCTGGACCATTTTTAACATTTTAAACGTTTGCGGGGTAAACGAACATTAAATAATTAGTTTTTTTTGCACTAATTATTCGTTTTTAGACATATATAATCGATCTTCAATATATGAGAAAGCTCATTCCAATAGCCCGGGACATTTAAAACTCATAGTAATCTCCCTTTAAATTCTAGAATTTTACTGAGATTTCAGTGAAATCTGAAATTTCATGATTTTTTTTTCGCCTAAATCGTATTCAGTGTTACTGTCCTCAAAATTGGTAGTCAACTGTCCATGAAATTTCATTTTTTTTCCAACAGTGTCCTTCAGGAAACAACGAGATAAAGATTTGGTTGTGGTCGGAATATAAGCGATAAGAGATTGTTCTTTAATGCATATCTAGCAATGTCCATTTTACCCCAGCCCCGGTTCAACAATTCATCCCTGATTCAATTCAGTAGCGAGGTGGTAAAACGTACCGACAAGTCAATTTTGACTATCGACTAGTTTTCAATGAATATCTCGGAATCTAAAGGAGATAGCAAAACTGTTGTCATGACCTTTTTTGTAGAGCCGATTGAGTGCTGCAATAAATGTAATTACAAAAATTTCGCTATCTCCCTTAGATTCGGAGATATTCCTCAAAAACTCAACTGGGAGATAAGTCGACTTAAACCGTTCTATCACTTCGCTACTGAATTAATTCGTTATGTATGTCACAGGTGGTCGGAAACTTTCCAGTAACCAAAGCAGTCTTAACGATAGACACCCACAAGACGGCTCTAGTCTTCGGCGGCTTGGAGTCGACCATCCGCATCGCCGAGTTCACCCAACGAATTTGACCCCTCATGTAGCCTCTGTATCACCTAAATAAAACTAAAAATCAGTCGAACCACATAATTTACCCCGTAATCACCCGATAAATGCATGAAGATAGGTGGATGGTCTTAGACCAGACCTTTCGCTTAAACATACAGTCGAATGTCGAGTGATGCCAAAGTTAAATATAAAACACGGCGGCGCCGATGGCCGCCCGCATCATCGCCGGTCCAGAACCAATGGTTCCATGGAAGTCAGTCTGTTCTAGCTTCTCGGCGCGAACCGGCATTTTTTAATTTAATGATTAAGTACCGAACGATCGCTTTTCACGAAATTGATAATATTGCCCTCGACACAACGCTTTTCTCTCATCTATTTCTGTTTTACTTCTCTCTGCTGTATTTTTCTGGTTTTGTGTGATACTGTGAAAGGAATAGTGTGATCAAATCTCGAGGAATCAGAAAATTGAGTGACGCAAGGAGTGAAGAGCTTCGACAAAGGTAAGCAACAGCGATATTTTAATAATTCAGGTTATTTCTGATGAAAAAAATCGCTGGGTTCGACGACCGTTGGCGCTATCCGAAAAAAAATGCCATTGTTTTCACATATTTTTGGCACAAAAAACTTCTCCCTCACTTCTTCCTTACCCTCGTGATGTAATAATTGCTCAACTAAAGTGTTACATTTTCTTATTCAATATTCTGACTCAATAGTCTACCAAAAATAATTTCAAAAACTTTTCCCTTTCGACTTCACGCAATTTCAAATTAGCCGTCGACATAAATCCAGTGCCTATTTCCGTTCGATTCACTCGCAATTTTATTTTTGGAAATATCCCGAGTGCAAAGTTTTGATGATAAATGTTTGTTTAACCCATTTGCGCAGATTTTTTTCTCCTTCGATGATTTCGTAGATTTGGGAAATTGTCAAAGTTTTGGGTGGACATTCTCGGAAATTTGAAAGGACGAGAGCAAATTTGTGTCATGTACTTGAAATAGGCGGATGTGTGAAAGGGAGTCATGGTGAAATATTCTTTTCTCTACGGGTAGAGACTGCGGGCATAACCCGCGCGCGCCTTTGGGATTTAAATATAGGAATCGGGGTATATTTAGACGGCCTACACTCCCGGTATCCGGTCAAAATGACTCTTCTTCGAAAGCATAAAAATTAAATTTTTTTTTGCTATCATAAATTTTGAAGCTCATTATTTTTCAGAGGATTTTTCTCGTTGTGATGTTAAAATAGGTACGGCTGGGGGAAAGTAAGCCGCGTCTAATGCGGTTGGGACACGGAAAAGCAACTATTTTTAGGGGCATTTGGATGGAAAATGTCAACTATGTCACAGCTGTCATTGTATACAAAACCTGTCCCTGAACCTCAAACAAAGTGAAAAAAAACTTGTCATTTTTCTTGTTCTTGATCCTATTTTTTACGGTAAAATAATAATGGAAATGAGGAAATAAAGATGGTGTTGGTATAGTATATCAAGAGGAAATTAAGCCTCCTTGCGGAAGTTGCGAGGGAAATTTAGTAACAAGGAAGTTAATAGCATTATCAATTGAGGGTAACATGAATATTCCGGTGACATCCGATTGACGATTGATATGAGGGCTAGGCCGTGGTTTAGATTCGGTATTTCTAGAGTATTTTGGCGATGAGCCATTAGGAATTGTATTCCTGCTTCTTCCGACGCACTCGGTTCGTATAAATTTGTGATCACATCGGCGAAAAATCCTCGGCCAATTGCTTTATGTGGTGGAGGGGAGGGCCCCTGTCATCTCTTCCATTAGAGCGTGCATTTGTCTGGTCAGTTTCTCATGTTGATGGGAATAGTCTTGGACGGTAAATCATTTTTTCGTGAGGTGTGATGATAAAATATGAAGATTGAATGGTACAAATTGATGTTTTTAATTTGACGGGCATGATCATTAGGGCGATTGGACTTTGTATTTTTGAAATTTTGCATTCAATCATTGATTTTCAATTTATGATAAATGGTTTGTTGGAGTTTACATTCCATGGTGGCACAAATCAATTTGTTATTTCTTTTATATTGTCGCTGTATAGCCTAAGGGGCATGCAATTAACAGAAAAATCCCTGAAAAGAAGCGGAATTATCAATTTTCAACGGCAACGGGGCGTAACTCCACTCCATGGAACTGCATGACAGTATGTTCTTAGAAATTTTTTTGAAATTTCATGGAAGATATCATAATAAATGTCATGAGAGTGACGTTGAATCGGATTTAAGCAAAAAATGGTTATGAAATTTCAAGTTTTCAGTAGAATTTACGGAAATTCATGAGTTTTCAGTGGTAGTGAGATGGAAATTTCATAACTTGATTGAGTTTTCAGTGGAGCATGAATATTACGAAACGAAATGACACTGAATTTTCCTGATTTTTCTGAATTTTCACAGGATAATTGAGCTGAGAAATCAAGTATTTTATTGATTTCCAGATAATCAATAAAATATGAAGAGAAAATCAATGGAATATTCGATTTTTCAATGACAAGATTTCCTGAAATTTCAGTGCGGCTTAAGCACGATAAAAACTTTACGGAATTTGGCACGGAAAATTCAGACAAAAATTTTTAAGTGTATGTCAATTTTTGGTGAAACATGTCATAGCTGTGATAGTTACGGGAGGTGTGGCCCATTTCAAGAGCTGTAAATCGTGGATGAATTGCTACCATACATCGACATGAAACTGCCATTTTCAATTTTCAGAATGAACTTTGCTACGGATCCATTCGCTTGTGGCGGTTAGGTGTATAGAGACACTATTTTAATTCGTGTTTGTTGTGGAATATAAAGGCGTTGGATTTATCGAATTCGTGTTTATATCGAATATATAAATCGGACTGAATTCAACAGAGATGACTGACTGACTGACCCTTCGTCGGGGAGCGTGCGAGTTTACAGACTTTCTGTTATGGAAGGTTCGAGAACCGTCCAGAAATCTCGTGAGGGACAAGAACAGAATGTTAACTAAATTTCGAAATAATAATTCGTTTGTGGCTCGCGCCACACGCTTGCTACCAATGGAAAAGGGAACTTGCATGAATTTTCTTCAATTTCCTAATTTCAAGTTTGGGACATGAATAATTAATTATTCAGCCACAAACATTTGAAATACTGCTCATTAATTAATAATTAATTGTTAAAAGTTGAAGATTTCAAATGCTTCGAAATCGCTAATGACGTCGCACAGGCGGTCGGGCGCTGGACGAATGACAGAATGGCTCGAGCCGACCTAACCCAATCTTGAGGTGCGCCTCGGCCAATGGAGGACGACAACTCTCCACTCTCATCTTTTTCGACCAATGAAGTGTTACCTGACCGTCTTCGTGACGTCATTACCGAAAAATGGTCCTCGAAAACGACTGATTTTCAATTCAGTAGCGAAATAGTAAAACGGTACAAATCAATTTTGACTATTGGCCAGTTTTCAATAAATATCTCGGATTGTAAGGAGGCTAGCAAAAATTTTGTTATAACCTTGTTAGAGATGAAGCTATGGTGTTAGGGCAGATTGGGGACACGTGATATGGAAAGGATGAAATTAAAGACACGCGGATTACAAAAAACACTGATAATGTACTTTATTTGTGGCGCAAGCCACGCGTCTTGTTGTTAGGGATACACGAATTGGTGAATGTCTCAATATGTCAATTTGATAGAAGTTTTTACAATGCACTGGAGGTTCTCTCAATGATAAACTTGATGATTGACTCAAAGTAATTGATAGTTAACTCAGAATGAATTGATAATTGAATCAAATAGAGACGCTACGGTAAGCGATCGACTCGATTTCTCGCGCTGATGTACTCGGTTGAGCGGTTGCGACGATACTCCCGAGTCGAGGATTTGGTTCTGATTGGACGTACACAGGTCTTTCAAGATCTCTCCAGACCTAGATGGACCTGGTAAGTCCTAATCAGTTCTGCGACGTACTTTTCCGGAGACCTTTCGAATCCTCAGTTCTTTTCGGTCCTGAGAAGTCCTCCTCTATGCTACAGAGAACGCGTGATTTTGAGAGCGGGTGAAGGGGAAGGCATGTATGCGGAGGGTTGAAATTTGTAGCCAACGAGGAGACAGGGTTGCAAAATATATTTTAGGCACCCTCATCTCCCCGTTTGCAGACGGTGTTTAAATAAAAAATAGTGAACGTTGATTCTGTATTTATTGACCCCCTGATGCCAATGAAACCCCTGAAGGCGCGACAAAAGTCGAAATAAAATTTTTTTTTTGGCCCCAGCCAAAGGGTCAGATTTTCGGGTTTTCCGGGGCAAGTGGATTTTCGCCAAAATCGAATTTTTTAGCCGGGTGAACGTTGATTCCAACTATTTAAGCGCCGGGCTAGTCAGAACTGTCAAAAGTATGTGGAAAAAGTGAAAACTGAGAAACCGTTTTTTTTGGCCCCAGCCAAAGGGTCAGATTTTCGGGTTTTCCGGGGCAAGTGGATTTTCGCCAAAATCGAATTTTTTAGCCGGGTGAACGTTGATTCCAACTATTTAAGCGACGGGCTATTCAGAACTATCAAAAGTATGTGGAAAAAGTGAAAAATGAAAAAAAAATTTTTTCACCGGAGGCCAAAGTGTCGGATCTTGGATTTTTCCGGGGGGAAAGTCGGTCCAAGGGTCACAAGGGTCCAAGTGTCAGATCTTGGATTTTTTGCCAAAATCGAATTTTTTACCGGGTGAACGTTGATTCCAACTATTTAAGGATGTTCTACACCCTTTCTGCCAAAATTCACGTTTTTTTAATTTTTCTGGCAAACTTATGATGGAATTGACGTGAAAAAATATAACGTTTTTGCGTTTTGTCATTATTTAATGACTGACGAAATTTTAAGGTGGTGCGAACATTTTCTTGCGTTTTCTCAAAACTTTTAAAAAGAATCACAAAACTGTAGAAAAAACGCATGAAAATTATCGCACCACTACGCAACTTCGTGAGCCATTAAAGAATGACAAACCACAAAATCGTTATATTTTTTTACGTCACTCCCATCGATAATTTGCCAGAAAAATGAAAACGTCAATTTTGGCTAAAAGGGTGTCGAACATCCTTAAGCGCCGGGCTTGACAGAACTGTCAAAACTATGTGGAAAAAGTGAAAACTGAGAAACCGTTTTTTTTTTGCCCCAGCCAAAGGGTCACATTTTCGGGTTTTCCGAGGCAAGTGGATTTTCGCCAAAATCCAATTTTTTAGCCGGGTGAACGTTGATTCCAACTATTTAAGCGCCGGGCTATTCAGAACTCTCAAAAGTATGTGGAAAAAGTGAAAGCTGAAAAAAAAATTTTTCACCGGGGGCCACAGGGTCAGATTTTCGGTTTTTACTTGGAACAAGGGTTAGATTTGTTAACAATTTCATTTTTATTTGGACAATGCATGCAAGCGGAGGGACAAGAGTGGCTAGAATAGATTCTGCAACCTTCTCCCCTTGTTGGGTAAAAATTTCAAGTCTCCGCATACATGCATCTCCCCTCCGCCCTCTCGTGAAATGTCGATTTTCGAGATTAAAAAAAACACAATAATTGCATTTTTTATATCAATAACGCATGAGTAAACAGGGATATGAAGGCAGATTTAATATAGGCCCATAGAATTACGGGGACCGGCAAGGATTTGGAAAGTCTGAATACAAGTCCTGCTTACACCTAAAGAGTGCTGAAATGGGACATAACCAGAGGCAGAAAGGTCTCGGAAGCAATTGGGAAGAGGCTTCCCAAGACCTATCCAGTTGTGAACAGAAAGACCTAAGTAAAACTTGTCACGTCCAATTATTGGACTCGGGGAGATGTATATTCTTTGATGGCTAGGTTGACACTGCTGAAAATTCATATTTGGCGATTTGCTACGTAATGTACACGTGAACCCGAAGGGTCCCGAAGTCGTTCGAGATTTTCCGTTGAGCCCGGTAATTTTTATAGTGAAATATTTGCTGCGTTTCAAACAAACCTTTTTTGTAGAGCCGACTGAGAGCTACAACAAATGCAATTATGAAAATTTCTTGAAAAACTCAACTGGGAGATGAGTCGACTTAAACCGTTTTACCACTTCGCTACTGAATTAATTATCATAAGACTTCTGGGCAATATTTCTCCACAATTTTAGCCGTTTAACTATCCATATGTTACGAGGAATGTGTAAATAGAGGAATTAGAAAGAATTGAGCTTCATGCAAGTTCCCTATAAGTAGAAATAAAAAAAAAGACTAATATCGCCTAAAGTGACGGGGAAATGTCCTCTTTCTATTGTTGTTCCAGGGATGCTGTCTTAAAGGAAAGGGAAGAGAGATAGAAAGATGTCGCAGCATCCTTCACGACCCCCGGGAGGGTATGGCCCGTCAGGCTGGTCAGCCCGTCCCACCTCCCACAGTCCCTTTCGCCCTGCTTCACCAGCACGCGGTCCACCCACCCCCATCCACCATCCCATGTCACCCCTGACTTATCCCGGAATGATGCACCCGATGAGCCCGGTGCCCATCGGCATGCCTATCTCACCGGGCATGTCACCGGTTTTTGGATGTCCACCACCTGGATTTATTCAGTGCCCAAGACCGAGATGGCCGTCGCCCGTTTCCACCGGAAATGCTGCGCCTCGACCTTACATACCTCAGGTATGATCACCACAATACAAAAAGAATATATAATAAGAATAAGAATGCATAAAATTATATTAATCAGAAATATTAAATCTTAGATAGAAGGCTTATTTTGGAAGAATAACTATAATACCTCATTAGCGCGTTTGAATGTTTTTTAAAAATGAGAGAAAACAGACTTATCATATATATACACTGATAGAACGGATTAGTTATTGTTAATGAATGGATTTTGGTTGGAGGTTAGGGTCTATTCGGTCCCACCAAATGTTCATTCGTTAATAGTTAACGGATGTACAGTTGAGGAGCCTTGTTTGACTTGACTTTCGCCATTCAAGTGAACCATTCGTTAACTATTAACGAATATTCATTTGGTTATATTCAACTCTACCATTCGTTAATAGTTAACGAATCTCGTTTGGAATAAATGAATCATTCTATCAGTGTACACGGAGAGAAATTTTTGATAAAAATTACCCTACCGTTTTACAAAAGTGTATCATGAGTCCTCGTTTCTTCATTTCTATCCCGAAATTTAGTCAAAATTAATATATGATGATCAAATTTTATTCTACATTAGAGAAATTTTATCCTGATAAAAATAAAAATTACCGTGCCGGTAGAGTAAAATTTATCGACCGTTCTTGAATTTTCGTTGTTATCTACATAAAAATTACTGGACTGGAAGGGTAAAATTTATTATGCGTCAGGATAAAATTTCTCTAATGTAGAATAAAATTTGATCATCATATATTAATTTTTACTAAATTTCGGGATAGAAATGAAGAAACGATGACTCATGATACACTTTTATAACACGGTAGGGTAATTTTTATCAAAAATTTCTCTCCGTGTATCTATGTACATAATTATGTCTTTTGTATTTACCAAAACACCGGAGAAAAGAGAGAGTCTAGTGCAGGTGTAAAACAGTTCATGTAGCACCAAAGAAAATAAATAAATTAAATTGAATTAAAATCATATTAATCAAATTGTCATGACGGAACTGGAAAGAAAACAAGCAGAGGACAGCGAGCATATGACAGCGCGTCATGTGACTGATATTTTATTTTTTTCGCCATCACTACATTGATGACGAGCTTCCAAATGATCTGAAATATTACGAAAGTTTATAGCTTCACAACACTAACTAGCAGCAAAAATTTCAGACGGTTACTGCCACCTCCATGGGTGCTACCAAAATTCCTATGTTTCGAATACTTTGTATGAGCGGGTATACATATTTTCTGTCCAAATTTCAAGTTGATATCTCGATTTTTGCACAAGCTAGTGTTTCCAAAGTTTTTTATGAAAAAACGGAAAAACGGGAATATTTAGAAAACTTTGTCTGATCTATTCATTTGTTGAAATGAAGAAATGGAATTCATTGAATTTCATTTTCTCATGAATACCTTATAAATATTGATAATGAATCAAAGAGAATTCGACTAATGATTGAAGTGAATAGCGAAGTAGAGTAAAAGAATCTATAAAGAATTTTTCATTTTCAATTAATTGTCTTCAATGTTTTAAAGTAATCGGTCTCCATAAAAGGACAGAATTTATTAATTTCACCGATGATATATATACATGTGAAATATGTATATCATATCTATATGATGTGAAAAAAAATTACCCCTGAAGAATTTGAAAATGCCGCGTTATTTTGTGAATAACTTCGTGTCACATATTGACCAATCAGAATTAAGGATTAGCGGTCACGCAGTTTCGAGATATTTCGATATAAAACAACTTCACGTTTCTTTCATCTTTAGTAAAATACGATTTTGATTGATTTAGACAGAAGGCATCGAAACGAATATTCTGAAAAAAGAAAAGGTGAAATCGGTTGCATAGTTCTGAAGATATTCCATGCAACAAATTTTTAAAAGAAGCGGAATATCTCCGAACCTACTAATGCGATTGAACCCATCTTCAATACTAAACATTGCTATCATGAGAGGAAGATTTTGTCCAAATTTCAAGTTAATATCTCGATTTTTGCACAACCTAGAGTGTTTACAAAGTTTTTTTTTATGAAAAAACGGAAAAACGAGAATATCTCGAAAACTTTGTATGAAAGGGTACACATGTTTTGATTTATTTAGATAGAAGCCGTCGAAACGAATATTTTGGAAAAAAAAATCGAGATCGGTGCTATCTTTGAAGATATTTGCGAAAAACGATTTAAAAATGAATCGCTTCTTCTCAAAAAAATATTAGATCGATCGGGCAGAAATTTTGCACAGAGCTAGTCCTCATTAGGACCTATAATCTGACAAAATTTCAGATTTTTTGGAATTACATTAGCCACTTAATTACTCAATTATCTAAAAATTGACCACCGGGAAGGTGACGGTGGAGGTGGTCACATACAGACATGGTCGCCAAACTTCGTATTTTTACGTTTCAGACCATTCTACATAATTTACAATCAAAATTAGAGAATGTGAGAATCGAAGGATTGCAATGCTTCCATTCGGAAGCAATAAATTGAAATAAAATAGTTTAAATTAATTACTAGTTATGAATTGGTACGTGATTCGAATCGGAGAGGGCGGAGGTACTTGGCCCTTATAAAATAAATTGTTTTCACTCAATTTTTGAGGTAAAAGAGGAAATATTTCTGTTACGCAGAGTCCAATTGAAGCACAGGGTGCCCCCGTACCCTGTGGACCCCCCGAGTATCTGATCGCCCCGTACAGACCTGGTGATTATGAGTACGTCGGTGTACCCCTAGAACCATCCCAAAACGACGACGAGGACAGTGGACCCAGCACGGCGGAAATTATTGCCAGTCAAAGTCAAGATTACGTCGATGAAAAATTGGCGGAATACCAAGCCACAATCGCTTTACTTCAAGGTCAGTTTTAGTTTGAATGCCCATTATTCTTCTGAAGGTGATGCGATCAATTTATTTACTTACGTCTGTTGGTATTTTGACGATAAAGTTTACATGTGCAGATATTGGAATTCATGTGAGTTAATTTAAGCAACTCATACCTTAAGGTATTTCGTGTGTAGATCATCGGGGGTGAAACGGAAGGGGAGTCTTATTGTTCTCGAGCCCTGATTCAATCGCTGAGCACGAAATTTTCCGATTTTCAAGTAACTATTCAAGTGCGCATTTGAACATTTTTTGAATATTGATTTTATTTATCAGATTGATTGATTTTGTTCTCATCACCTACGGGTGTCAAATAATTTTTATTGGATGTTATTCTAATTATGGAAATAATATTAAAATGCGTCTCGAGTTGGTAAACCTGTCGAGTGTTTTCTCTCTCTCAGTTCCATGGTCCAACCCATACGTTTCCCATAATGCTCACTGACATTCGAATCGCGCGCATGCGCGTGAGGGCATAATTGCCCCGAAACTCATAATTCTCCGAATCATTTGTGCAAATAACTTTCTTATGAAATCTGAAAAAAAGTTTGAAACTTATACGTGTTCTCAAGAAAGATTTGATTTATCACCCACTAGTTTTTTCTCAATAATTTTTCCTCATTATTTTTTTGGGTGCCATGGAATTTTCCCTAATTGAGAGCGGGGTAACCTCGGAGGTTATAGCTGGAATGGTTAGGAAAACATCCAAATTCCATCATTTTTTTTTTCTTGAAACTGAGATCTGAAGAAAATGTGCAGGAATGCTCAATGATGCAGTATACTTAGAAATTTCTCCCATGGATTTTCCAAATTTTTTTCATTATTTTGACTTTCCAAACGAAACACCTTAAGGATATCCAAGTACTTTGACTATTTTTTCTCCAGTGAAATGCTTTTCTACTTTTGTATTCGAACATCAGAGCTTTTATGTGACCCCATTTGACCCTAAGTTTCCGCACATTTTACAATGAATTTGAATCTCGATATTAAACCGCTGGAAAACATTTTAAAAATCTGAAAAATAAAATAAAAAGTTTAATTTTGGAGGAAGATTGATAAAATAATTAAAAAACTGCAATTTTTTAAGATTACGAACATTTTTTATAAACGATTTATAAACAATCAATTTTCCACCATAAAAATCATTTGTAAAAATCGTTTCGAAAACGTAACAATTTATTCACATTATGAATTTTATCAGAAATCGATTTCACGCCTAAAAAAATGAGGTTTCCAAAAGCTTAAACAATTTCAATTTTTTATTTAGAAACAACGAATGTTGAAAAATAACAATTCTGTTCAAAATGGAGTATCACGTGTGATATCATCTCTACTCTACAGTTTATAAATTGACAGATCCATCCAGTTTGCATAGGGATCATTTCAGAATCGTTTCGATAAAATGGCCTTCACGCAAGTTTTTTTTTTGTGAATGAAAATTTATGTTGCGTCGAAAGACATCAACGTTCAGTTGATTTTTTCATGTTTCTCCCGTCCTCTCCGTGAGATGAAATGTCAACAACTAAAATTAAGTAATGTGTTGTGAAGTCGGTCCTCGACTCATAACTAGTCCCCCAATCTTCCCAAATTACTCTCTTTCATAATCGTTACGTGTTCCGTGATATATTTGTGAACTACGAGACAATCTCGAAAAAGTTGAATTGTAATATTTCCATAATGAAATCACTTGATTTGAATCTTTTAAGTAGAGAACGTCGCTATTTTGCCGAATATCATGGTAACAATGTTATTAAATCATTTTAAAACACTTTTCATTACTCGTGCACAAAGTGAAATTTTACAATGTTGAGTGCGTAAAAGTGTTCGCCCAGGGGGAGTGCTACCTACCCAAGGGTTAAAGAACACGTTTGCCACGTGTGGCGAATCCTATTTTTCATTACAATGTGTGGAAAGTAGGAGTGTGCGCACGCGACGCATGCGTAAAATTTGTAATGAGTGCAAAAAAGTGTTTTTTGGCGAGTGGGAGGTTTATATCACGAGCCGAAGGCGAGTGATATAATCCCACGAACTAAAAAACATTTTTTCACGAGTTACGAACAATATTTTTCATCACAATGTGGCGGAAATTGGACTTATAGGCACGCGGAGCGTACCGAAAAGTTCACTTTTCGTCACAGCGTGATGAAAAATAATTTTCATCGATTTTTTTCTCGCGCTGATTCACACAATCAAATAAAATATAAAAAAGAAAATATGTCACTGTGTCAACCCCATAAAAAATACCGACAACATTTATCTGCATCAGACATGAACACAACATGCGAATTGACCTCCAGTCGAGATCCTTTGACCTTGCAAGAACCTTCACTCAAATTCACTCATTTGTCTCACTTCTCGCTACCAAAGAAGAACAGAACAAAATCATGTTTCACTTTGTTGATGCATCGGTGCTAAAACCGTGTGAAATTACCATAATGATGTAACATGGTGTTTGGCGACGTAATCCATCAAGGAGAAGTGGGACAGATAGAAGAATAAAAAATGAGGATGGCACCAGCAAGTTTTTACGCAATAATTGATTCTGTTTAGCGTCCGCAGTCATTTGCGATATGATGACGAGGGAATAGCGGGGACGAAGTTGCGACTAGACGGCCATTCGAACGATTCGGTGGCCGGTGTTTATAAATAGAAATGACGGGGGGTCACCTGCCGCGTTGTCGACCCATTCACGTATGCGAGCCGCAGTGGTACACTTCCTGGTATTGTTTTCACGCATTTTCACTCTCGTTTGGAGCTTCCTTTTTTCCTCAGTTTTGGGAGATGCATGGATTTTCTCAGTGGCTGGGATCTTATTGATAAGGCAAACCGGGCTCAGGCATCACGCGGGAACGATGCGAATGGAGTTTGTAAACAATTCTCTTCACGCGACTTAGAGGTGATACGATCACGCGATCTTTTTTAGAGGTGACTAGGGGGCTACGCCCCCTGCTCGCTCCGCTCGCAAATTCCCGTATGACCCACATATGACTCCTATAATCCTTATTCTGACCCTTGTGACCCTTAATCTGACTTGAATAACGCTAAACGTGACCCTTATGACTCTTAATCTGCCCCTCGCGATCCTTAACATGACCCTCAATCTGACCATCGTGACCCTTATTTCGAATCTCGCGACTCCTATCCTGACCCTCGTGACCTTTAATATGACCTTTAATCTGACCGCCGTGACCCTTATTCTGACTCATATAATTCTTAATATGACCCCTATTCTGACCCTCGTAGCCCTTAACATGACCCTTGTGACCCTTAACCTGACTATCGTGACCGTTATTTTGACTCATATAACCCTTAATGTGACTCTTATGCCCCTTATTCTGACCTTCGTGACCTTTAATATGACCCTTGTGACCCTTAATCTGACTGTCATGGCCCTTATTCTGACTCATATAACTCAATATGACCCTTATTTTGACTCATATAACTCTTAATATGACCCTTATTCCGAGCCATATAACTCTTAATATGACCCTTATTCTGACCCTCGTGGCCCTTAACATGACCCTTGTGACCTTCAATCTGACTATCGTGGCTCTTATTCTGACTCATAACCCTTAATGTGACCTTTATGACCCTTATTCTGACCCGCGTAGCCCTTAACATGACCCTTGTGACCCTTAACCTGACTATCATGACCGTTATTTTGACCCTTATGACCCTTAATGTGACCCTCGTGACCCTTAATTATGGAGTCTTAATTTCGAGTACCAAATTTTTATCACCAGAAATCGATTTGGATTTTTATAATATAGAGAGATGGTTTTCATGATTCTATTATTTACAAACTATTTATTTGGTGTCGATATTTGGTACGGCGTGTGCTTTCCCACCACTGTGCTAGGTATTTTTATTTATTCATTTGGGAGGTTGGGGAAAACGAGAAATGTTTTTTCACAATGCGTTTCTTCTCTTTCACGTGAGAACAACAAATAATTATTTTTCTCTTCTCGACGGCATTCTTAAACGATAAGTGTTTTGCTATTGAGTAATATTTACCCTCCTCTCGAGTGACACCAGTACCTCCCGAGTTTCAGGTCCCATATCTTAAAATATAAAATCATTGACAATCGAATTCATGAGGTCCGTGGGACCCATTCCATCCTTTTTAAATAAAAAACTGGATATATTTTTCTCCCGCAACAAAGCACAATGGAAGCGTGGGCGCAAAGTCCTCGATCGAACGTCTTTACTCGCGAGATTAGAGGCCAATAAAATTTGAAATTGCAATCAACAAGCATTCGTCATGATACGGTTACTATATGGCAACAGCCCGATCGATAATTTGGAGGCAGAAGAAACTGAATCAGACCAAGAGAAACGTCGCACATGGGGTAGACCTTTCTTAAAACGTAGTAATGCAGACGGTTGTGAAATAAAAAAGTCACATAAATCAGGGGAATATTGCGCAATAGACCCTAATCGAGATCGCCTTAGAACTACGTAAGAAAACATGAATGAGCCTTTCCGTCAGAGATGCGTCTGAAAAAAAAAGAAAAAGGACAACTCTGGGGTATTCCGACAAAGTATTTTGATGATTTAGTCAACATAACACGACTGCCAGAAGCGGAAAAAATATTCTTTTGGTAGAAAATATTATATCGCTGGGACAACATTCTCGATGGGATTTCGCTGGCTTTAGTCAAATAATTAAATTCGTCCTTCGGAATTATGAATGGCATCGTAAAGCCAATGTACATCGTGTAATGAAAAATTTATGTGGTTCGGTTGTCAAAACTTCAGTACATGGTACCCATTAAAATAATTAGTTTGAAGTACAGTTGTAAAATCCGTAATATGATTTAGTGTGTGAAGAGCCAAAAAGATTGTGCCGTCGAATTTTAAAACGCGATGAAATCTCATAAGTCTACTATCAAAGACTAGGAGTATATGATCACAATTCAGACACACCCATATCTATTCTCAAAAAGGTATGCCAAGAGCCGGTGAAATGGATAGCGATAATTTTGAC